CTCCTCCCATAGTGTTTCCAGGAGTTTTGCTTGTTGAGTGTTTACCGGATGTGACTTTACGTGACTTTAATTTATGTAGATTGATACTCTTAATGCTGAGTCACTTTTAAGGAAAAAGGCAAAACAGGACTGGCAGTTGTCTCTTTTTCCAGGAAACGCCTTCGAGGTCTTATGATGTCGTGTATTATTGTGCTCACTAGGTTTTGTCTGCGCAGTTTTGGCGCTGGACTGTGAAAACATAGGTGTACTATCGGAAAGGATATATGTATGCAAGATGTTGTTAATGACGCCGGATTACCTCCTCCTCCGGCTGCAGCCCTAGTCACTAGAGAACATGGTATCTTAGTGCTCTTTTTAAGCCCAGATTTAGCCATCATAATATTGATTATTAATTATGCTGAAAGATGAATAATAGACGACAACAGTGTCTGTCCGGTGGAAAAAGAACTAAATTACAAGAAAAGAAAAAACGTTTTAGACTTTACTAAGGAATTCCAGGTTATTCAGCTTAAAAGCAATCACGTGGCGGACCAAAAAATCTTGTTTATCTGAGACAGCGAGGAAGATGGTGATACAGAGGTAGCAATTGAGGCCTTGACAGTAGTTGGAAGTGTCTGGATTTACCACACATTGATTCGGTATAGAAGTAACGGTTGAATTGGATTCACAGGATAGGAAGATAAGGTGCCCAGAGCGCATGAATAATAAAGTAGGTATTTTTTTGGTTAGAGAGGAAACAGCAAATTGTATTCAAAGGGCGCTCTGCCCAAGATAATTAACGCTGCTGCGAAATGACAACCAGGTAAAACCACTTCTCAAATCTGAGCACCTGCTAGACTTTTTGACTACAGAGGCTGTAAAGAGGGTGATGTCGTCATATAATGTCTTAGGATATAACATACCAGACAATGTCCCTATCGTCAAACTTAAAGCCGTTTGTCTACAGGCGTGCAACATTTCACTATATGACTGCCGGGTTCTGCGTCTTCGTAAGAAATCTGCAAACCACCCATATCCTGTACTCTTCAAATTTAAGTCTGTTGACCTAGTTAAGAAATTTTTGGAGTCTGGTAAAATTCTTGGCTCCTCAACACCCTACACCAATATCAGGATTGTACCTGATTTAACTTCTTGCCAAAGACGATGCCATGCAGGTAAACTAAATGGAGATAACCCCAATAAGACAGCCGTTGTTAATACTTCCCTCGTTGGATTGCCTAGTGACCAGGAAATATCACATGCACAAACTAACGGTGGTCAAGTAACTGTTGAAGACTCAGTTCTAAATACTGAAATCGCAGACATAGAAATGTCAGCAGATCATAGTACTGACGTGCATCCCTTGCACACTGACACGAATGCCATACCCATGAAAACGTCTAAGCTGGATTCAGTCGTATACTCTGAATCTCTCCAGTAGTCACATACCGCACAACGTCGTAGCCCGGCTACCGTGAAGCAGCAATCACATGTGGCCACTCAGGTTGGCGTGAATTCAAGGCGATATGATAAACGTCCTATTTCCGTAAGGAACACCAAAAGGACTATCGAGACTATTCAACAGAAATCCAGTTTATCAGGTAATCCTACTAGTCACCAACAGCCCAAACTACACAGGCCGACTAATTCGGAAAAACCTATACCAAACGCTAGATCCGGAACACTAAAGCACACAAGTACGAAAGTTTCAAAAGGGTCACCGGCTCATTCTAATGAGGGACAGTCATCTAAACTTAGTCACGTTACTCAAGTTAGACATAATTCGCATGTCATAGGAGCTTACTCATTTCCGACTACCGCTTCACAGTAGCCGGGCTACGACGTTGTGCGGTATGTGACTACTGGAGAGATTCAGAGTATACGACTGAATCCAGCTTAGACGTTTTCATGGGTATGGCATTCGTGTCAGTGTGCAAGGGATGCACGTCAGTACTATGATCTGCTGACATTTCTATGTCTGCGATTTCAGTATTTAGAACTGAGTCTTCAACAGTTACTTGACCACCGTTAGTTTGTGCATGTGATATTTCCTGGTCACTAGGCAATCCAACGAGGGAAGTATTAACAACGGCTGTCTTATTGGGGTTATCTCCATTTAGTTTACCTGCATGGCATCGTCTTTGGCAAGAAGTTAAATCAGGTACAATCCTGATATTGGTGTAGGGTGTTGAGGAGCCAAGAATTTTACCAGACTCCAAAAATTTCTTAACTAGGTCAACAGACTTAAATTTGAAGAGTACAGGATATGGGTGGTTTGCAGATTTCTTACGAAGACGCAGAACCCGGCAGTCATATAGTGAAATGTTGCACGCCTGTAGACAAACGGCTTTAAGTTTGACGATAGGGACATTGTCTGGTATGTTATATCCTAAGACATTATATGACGACATCACCCTCTTTACAGCCTCTGTAGTCAAAAAGTCTAGCAGGTGCTCAGATTTGAGAAGTGAATCTAAACAAATTTCTTGTGGTGGATCACAGAGTTGGATGAAAGCAGTGATACTTTTTAAATTTATCCTGTAGGTCTGATATGGATTACTGAAGGATCTGTAAATCACTAGTGTTACGGGCTACACTATCAGTTAGTTCTTCCATTAAGTTTGGTAATATAACTCTCGGTGTACCGATTGATCTTAGAGCGAATTCGTCGTCAGCACTAATGTTTCTAGTGAGCTGCTGACTAATTGATGCTAGTCTCTTAACAGTACTAACTCGTTTAATAACTTTGACCATTATGGAGGTGAAGATAATATCAATTTCTCAAAAACTGATAAAAGTGTGTAAAATGCTATTATATTATCTAAATAGATAAAACAACGATAAACAGGTATGAATGTATAAAATACAATTCAGAAGGTAGTCATATTGAAGCACCCAACCTCAGAGAATAGAAGTAGAATTCTATTTTGGACAGATATCCTCCTCTAGTCATGGGTTTTCCATTAGGAGTCCATACACAATCAAGAGGCAACTTGTACTGTTTCCTGCTCAAGGTCTATAGGTCTAACGTTTAGCCGTTGATGCAAGGACAGATAAAATAATTTTTTCATTTAACCGAATACCTGAGAGAATTTTTTCACATATTCTGCATTACCTATCGGTGTTTTCAACTTAAGACGTCTGGGTACATCAAAATAATATATACACATAATTCCGATGGTATCATTCTGGTAGTCCGTCAGCAAACCATCGTTGAAACCATGTCAAGGATCGTCGCCATCAGGGAAAGTGAAACTAATTCACATACGCAAGGTCACTGGACACTTTTTCAATGTTCAGCAACATTGGCGCGCTAATTTCCATCCAGAGAATGAACTACGAAGGGTGCACTTACTACACAGGGCACCTTAAATTGATGAACCAATGTGATGGTAATCCCGATCTGAAATGATGACAGTTTCGAGTGTCGTATGTCTACCTTGACTGTATTGGCATCCAAGTCATTATTTAAAAAGGCGTGTCATCATACCTCAACCATGCTAGTACTAATTCCAGATACACACTTTGCAGGGACACCATGAATCCACAACTACGTTTCCGTAGTTTATCAGTCGTTATGTCAGGGGGCTTTGCTGAATTATACGGAAGTGTGCAAAAGAACAGTCTATAACCTCCAGAACTACAGGCACTACAGGCTTCACAGGTGCTGGCTCTTTGGTCTTCATGCAGACAAGCAGAACGAAGCCTTATGACCTTTCATCCATCGAAGCGCAAAATGCAGAAAATATTCAATGAATATGACCTATACACAAGACGAATAAGGGAGTCTTATTTATCCCAGCAGACATAACAACCATAGCAGGCATCTAAACGAATTAATAGCCATTGGCAGAACTCGTTTAAGTTTTAACTCTTACTATCAAACACCTAGAGAAGAAGTGGTATTTCTCATTTTTTTAACTAGCTATATGTCGCAATATGACGGAGGCACTTAAATACGAACCGTTAGCCTATCCAGCCAGCGTCAGTAATGATGATTAACACCAGTAGTTGGATGACGAAGAAGTTGTGGGCTGTTTAAAGCCACCACCAGCCAACACTTTTCAAGTATTCTTTATTGATATCAAAAAACCTTAAGAGTGACGTCTTCGCAACGAGAAATCAGTTTCTGGCTGACTTATCTGCCGTCCTCTAAAAACTGTAAAAAATTATCTATGGAGAGTTCATTTTCTTAGTCCTCATGCCCATTTATCGATTCAGTTACTTCCGTTGTTTGTGTAGCATGAGTGTGGTTACGGCCTTAATTTTGTAGAACAAAAGAGTGACGAGTTATAAAAGTAAATATAGTTCTGTTTTTCAAACAACATTTTTATACAGTGTGAATTTTTAATCCTTTTTGATTGCTGTAAACTTGGCATTTATACAAACCAGATCAAAATAGTATTGCGTGAAAATGTTCTTTTTCTATTTATTCCAGTGCATCCCCAGAGGGTTTATGTACAGCGTCTTTAGATAATGGAGAAGATAAACCTGATGTAGCTTGGCTACACGTGATATTTAATGAGCTGTGCCACACAAATCAGCAGTCCATTCAATTCAAGTGGAAAACAATAAGTCAGACCGCGCAGTGTTAAAACGTTGAAACGGACCAAATCTTTGACATCTTTCGTTGTTCATCCAACCGCCTACACTGCTCGAAAGACGGTTACCTGAGAATCACGGAAATAGTTGCTGTCTTTGTGGATATTTCTTACTAGGAATGCTCACTAGTTTAAACTGACAAATACGCCTAGAATTGTATCTATGACTGAAACGAATGTTGATTTTTATATTTCTATCACCTTTCCACTGTCACTTTACCACCGAGAAGCGAATTCAAGGGAACTAATTTGGTTTACACTAGCTAAGGTAGAGGATTTTTTGACATCGCGGATTTTTTTGTCACTATCACAAAGAAATTTCAAAGAACTTACCTGATTTACACTTGCGCTTACAGATAGTACAGATAACATTAGATTTATATTGAATTTCGTACGTTGCGCAATATTTCACGTTTGCGCTTCAGCTGCAATGTGAGTGTTTCCTTGAAGTATATTACTTTCCTCTTTTTGGCCTCCAAAAGCATCTTAGTGGAAATGAAATAATATCAAACTAGGTGCACTGGAAAAGCTAAACAGTAGAAACCCTAGCGAACGGCTTACTAATTGACCCTGTATATCTTAACAGAAATGTTCACAATAAATCACTCCCCTGATTTTGTTGATCTGTTGAATGAAAGGCATATTAATTCTACATGAGCACTTTAGGGGGTATCTGAAAAATTATTTCGGTGATTTCATGTACAAAAAGTGGTTTGAACAGACGTGTATATTTTGATTTGACACTAGTAACTAGTGTGACGCATCTAGTCCTCTCTAATATCATCACAGACGTTGTGTATCTCGATGATAAACTGGTACGTATAAAAAATTAGCCATCCTGAGCAATCATTCTACCACACGCGATCTATTTTATGCAAAGTTTTCTATCCGAAAAACCCTTTGGTTGTACATGGTCGCTACCAAACACGTTTGGTTGATTCTTCACTTGCTTCGTCGATAAGCGATGCATCGGATAGCCTTTAAGAAATAATATGATTTGGCATATGTGAAAACTGCATCAAAAATGGAGAAGTTAAAGAATATTGGCCACCTTAGGACATGACTTTTGAGGAGTAGTTGGAGTTACGCCTTCTTTTCTGGATATGCTTTAGAAGTGTCAGGAAGAGTAAATGTTTGATTGCTGTGTAGATAGTGGATTGACTCGATTTGCTACAACATAAATAGAGAAAGACTGACAAGTGCTGTTTAAGGAATAGGATTTTGGGTTAGATTAAAGAACAGAATCAGAAATATAAACGTACCTCAGAGCGCCATGAACGATTTCGCAATTTCTATTGTTCCTTGGTTCTAATTAAATGTTCACGGCCAAGGGTAAGGTGGCTGATGTGGTTTAATTGCGTCTAAGAAATGTTGGTATGTGATCAATGGCATCAAGGAATACGTTTACGCGTTATACATTGAAATAGTTCAAATTTCCTTACAGAAATTCTATTCGAAAAATGTACTTCAGGTTTCTTGCCCAAGCTTAAGTTTTACAACATTATGCGAGTAATCTTTATACACTTCGTTAGACACTAATTGATCGGAATATGCTTTCCGCGCCGTCTTTTGGGTCTCGAGGTTTTATTGACTACCTCTTAGATGACTACAAGAGGAAAACTGTCAATGTTCACACTAAATTGCTGTAAACTCATAGTTCTTCAGTAGCTGGATAGCTCAACTCTTCGGGATTTATGTGGATGAAACTGAGGCAGCCATTTACAAATTATTTTCATCTTTATAATTCGTGTTTGATTTTATGTCAAAACACCTCTGTAATAAGTATTACATATATTTTGAACATCAAGGGACTACGTTTTGTATGTACTTCACGTACTCTGAATGGCTAAATTTTGTCTGGAATATTACAACTTGTTTATTTCCACCGATTGCGTATATTTTGGATGTGGCATCCACAAAGTATTGCAAGAAAATGATTTTGAGTCCCAATTAGAAGACCTTACTCAAAACTGAAATCTGTCGTTGTAAGTGGAGACTCAATTAGTATTGTATTCTTAGTTCTGGCGCACCAGTCTTATGGTCTAAATCATTGGGACGAACTTTCTAGTTCTATACCGTCTACCATATAAAATCACTTTTTGTATATACAAGATGTACATAAGTTCATCACTTAAGGTTACAATATCTCGAAAAACCTTGGAAAAAAAAAAAGAAAGAAACGGTTTTACAGTAGCCAGTCCAAAAAAATTATCTAAAGACTCTGATTTTGCCACCCGACCACAGCGACTGCCTTGTACAGTTTTCTTCATATAGGTAATTATTTTTGAGCACTAATAACTTCTAACATAAGGAGAAGCATTGCCTCACGTGGTGACCGCCAACATTAACCCAATGATGGACACTAACAAGTCATTTAGTTATAAATTGTTATTACTTTTAGAATACCTGTATGCATTCCAATCGCACATTAGTCGTACAAATCTTTGCCTTTAACCCTACGGGCGTAGAAAACAAGCAGTTATGGAGCCCTTATATGTTTAGCTTCTGATAAAGAAAGGGTGTGAATTTAGTGGGAGGTGAATAGGCAAGAATCTGAGTATGACAGCAACATTAATCCTGAAAATGCCTGGAATCATATGCAGTTTGCTACATTAACTAGTGCAGAGCAATCTGGGATGGTTTCATTGGGTTGATGTAAATCACTTATCAGTCCAGTTTTCGGAAAGGAAAACGAATTTCTCTGTAAATGCCACAAAGGATTCAGTATGACTGATAGGTTCCGTAGTACTTCTGAGATAAGGTGAAACTCAAAAATGCGAACTCGAGGAAAATAAGCAAGCTCCAAGCTCTTGACAAAGGTATGCTGATCACTGCTGGTCACTCTGCTTCAGAGGTAATTTTAGTTGTAAAGGATGACAAAATGAACTTTTTCGCACGTTGTTTAGTGAGTTGTTGCATACTGAAATGGCACGAAAGATAATTCAAGTTAACAAGTACTAAACGGTCATTCTTGTATACATGCTGAGATTTCGTTAGCAACCGATCCCCTAGGGTTGATGTTGCTTCCCAATTAAGTGATTGATTGACAAGCAGTTTAGTGCTTACGCCACTGTGTTATTAGGAGATAACTGGATGCTCTTATGTTTACTTACAAGCCTCAACGGTTGTCCGATAGGAACTAAGTATTCTAACACACTTCGTGTATCTTATTCAAACAGTACTTACTGTTATCACATAGTGTTGCGTATGAATGACTATTATGAGCTTAAGAATATTGCTTGTCAGGATTTCATCATGAAATGATATTGGTTAGAGAGCCATTAGAAAACCTGCAGGGAGTACTGGACAGCTGTTTCTTCCTAGTTTGGAACTCTTCAGAGGTACGCACCCATCACCAGGGTTCGAACCCAGGACCTTCTGGTGAGAAGTCGTGACCAGTAGGATGTAGCAGGTTGGGTGTGAGGACAAATACTCGCCAAAGATATTGTCTAGCGGTCGCGCTTTGTCGTGAATTGGCAGGAGTTAGAATTCGTGGGCCATTGTATCGGGTACCAGTGTCTTAATGGTCTACGAGCTCGCCTTGTAACCAGGAGGTCCTGGGTTCGAACACCGGTGGTGGGTGCGTACTGATGAAGAGTCCCAAACTAGGCTGACGAAACAGCTGTCCAGTACTCCCTGGCTGGTTTTCCAATGGTTCTCTAACTAATGTCAGCTCATGATGAAATCCTGTAACCGGTCTGTGAAATCCCTACAAACCAACACTTGAATATTTTGTGTCACCTGCCAGAGTAATAAATGTTTCAAATTACAATCAATCTCTATCCACACTACTTTTTTGTCGATTGTGTTTTTCTCTAAATTGTAGATCATACACATATATCGCTAAATCCCCACAAACATGGTATAATTAACCCGATTCAAACGTCTTTCCACTTAAAATCCCATCGCTAATGTTTCATCTTCTAATAATGATCGTGTGCTAGTCACATGCTAGTTGAATGGAATGGATGATGTACCTTATTGTTATTGTGCCTATGAAATACCTTTTCGTGGAGTGTCTTCAGAAAATCCAACTGGTCATTTATTAACTGCTATTCGAAATTCCGGGGAGAAGTTGTTGTTTGGCAAACCATTGGATGCAATTTATCGATATGGCTCATTTGAAGTGCTACACAATAAATTAGCCTTATATGGTGTTTTAGGCTTATCAAGTTGGGAAGTTTTATTTGTCCCGTGTATTAATCCTAAGCAAGTAAACGATGAAGATGTGAATTCTGTTCGGTTAGTTTTATTTAAAATGATCAATCTTTTCTTCTTTATTTTTTCTCCATGGTAGTGTTTTAATTAATTCATTAAATTGCTTTTCTTTCATATAACTTTGGATAAATAATGGATTTCAAACGTTGAATAGAGTAGACTAGTAGTATTGTATTGAATATCACTCAATTCAATGCGATACACACGCCACTTTAGGTTATATATACTAGACGACATAGTCCTGTTAGGGGAGCATGCTGATAAAATGCAGAGTCTTCTGAACACCTTGAGCAGCCATCTTCGTATGTTTGGCATGCGATTCGCCCCTGTAAAATGTAAGATGCTGCTACAGGAATGACTGCACTACGTCTGTAACAACAGAAGACAAGGGCCAGGCAACAGATCGTTTATTACGAAAAATCAACACGTATTTATAGATTTTTATGTACATTATTGTAGGTCAATGTTAGTAGAAAATACAGTCTGTTGATTGGTTGTTTATCACACAAGGTTAACCTTGCATCTCTTGTGGCTGTGTCAGTTCATCTATATGTTAACTGTAACCGCCTGTCCACCTTGACCTTTGACCTCAATTACTGTCAACCAATTTGGCCAGCAACCATCTCTCACCACAACATGACTAATATTTGATACATAAACATTGACCTCAATTACTGTCCACCACTTGGCTAGTAGACAGCTCTCACCACACTCGTCCCCCCGTCAAATAGCTTGAACTGAATTCGGCTCGGTCTTCTCGGTTCTTGGGGCTTTGCTCTGTTGTCTTGCTGTCTGGAATCTCGGCACTTGCGGATGTCCACTTGTTTAACGGTGTTTACCATTGCGATTGTGTCTGCGTAACCCCATCTCAACGTGACCACATATGGTCCTTTCCACTGTGGAAACTGTTTGCCTGACCCTGTCGCACATTCGTAGGTATTTCGCCTCACACTTCCATATGCTGCTTTCTCCCGACCTCCCAGCAGCGTCCCAAGTAGCAGCCTCATCGCTGACAGATCTTGAACGCCACTCGACTGCGAAGAAGCCTCGAAGTCCTGCCCGAAGATCCATATGTCTCCATCAAAAACTGCAGGGCAG